CACGTCCAGGGAACTAGCACTTGTTTTCGCCAGAGAGGTGTTTCGATTACACGGCATTCCCGTATCTATTGTATCTGACAGGGGTAGCCAATTTATTTCCAGGTTCTGGAAAGCCTTTTGTTCGGAAATGGGTATTTCTCTCTCATTTTCTTCCGCTTACCACCCCCAGTCTAATGGAGCTGCCGAACGTGCCAATCAATCTCTGGAGCAGTACCTTCGTTGTTTCGTATCCCACCATCAGAACAATTGGTCTGACCTTCTTCCTTGGGCTGAGTTTGCTCGGAATAACGCTACTCATGATTCTTCCGGCAAGAGTCCTTTTTACGTTGTATATGGCCAACATCCTGTTGTTCTTCCGGCTGCTTTCTCCTCACAGGGCATGCCAGTTCTGGATGAACATTTGGCTAATTTGCGTAATACTTGGGAGCAGGTTCAGCGTTCTTTGGTGGATTCCGCTGCTCGCCAGAAGGTGCAGGCTGACAAGCATCGCAGGGCGGCTCCTTCTTATGTTGTGGGGGACAGGGTTCTGCTTTCTACGCGAAACATTCGCCTCCGGGTGCCTTCTATGAAATTGGCTCCCCGCTTTATTGGTCCTTATCGTATTCTGCATAAGGTTAATCCTGTTTCGTATGCCTTGGGTCTCCCTAAGAATCTGCGTATTCCTAATGTCTTTCACACCTCGTTGTTGAAGCCTTTCGTACGCAACCGCTACACCCGACATGCACCTCCTCCCCCTCCTGTTTCTGTGGAGGGTCATGAGGAATTTGAAGTTTCTGCAGTTCTTGACTCTCGTTTCCTTAGGGGCCGACTTCAGTACCTAGTGCATTGGAAGGGCTATGGGCCTGAGGAGCATAGTTGGATTTCCGCTGACGCGGTTCACGCTCCTCGTCTTGTGCGCTCTTTCCATTCTCGTTTTCCTGCCAGGCCTGGCCCTCCCCGCCCGGAGGGCGTGTCCTCAGGGGGGGGTAATGTAGCGGTACTTACCCTTTCCAGGGGCCGGCCGGGGTCCTCTGTTCGAGCCGCGCGCGGTCCTGCTGCTGCACGAGCCGCGCGCGGCTCAGCCGACCGCTGTGACTAGTAGCGGTCACATGTTCCACCTACTCTAAGAGCGCGCCGCGGGTATCGGGCGCGCTCTTAAAGGGACAGTGGGTGCCTAAATTGGAAAAGGCATCCCATTGGTCCCTGTCATGCCACACTCCCCATACACTTACCTTTTGGGGGCGTGGATGTGACAGGGACCAATCAAAGTAGATGTTTAGGTATTTATACTCACCTTCTTTCCTTTGTTCCTTGCCCTATCGTGGTTTCTGTATCAGTTCCCTTTAGCGCTTGTTGTGTTCAGTTGTGTTTCTCCGTATTGACCTTGGCTTTGTTTCTGACTACGTTTTCTCTTTATCCTTATCTGTTCTGGTTGTCGGCTTGTTGTTTACTGTGTACCAGACCCCGGCTTGTCCTAGTTTACGCTGTCTCTCTGTGCCCTTGATTTCGGATTGTTCCTGACTCTGTCTCCTCTCATATACGTCGAGTCCGGCCATTCTAAGGTCCGGTAGACGTATCTCTCCTCTGTGTTGTCTTTTGTTTAGCTAAATCCTGCGTGTTGGGGTATATTCTCGTTACACTCCCGCGACCAATCCGCCGTACGTAAAAGGTCTTCCAATCTACAGCCTAACGTAACTGCTTTGGTCGCTATAGCCCCCCTCATGGAGTGTGCCTTGTACACGGAGGTATCAATATTTGCGGAGGCCATTACCCATTTTATCCATCTAGCTATCGTAACTGTCGATACTGGGTGATGCGGTGCCTTGATGGCTATAAATAGTTCATGTCTATGAGGGTCTCTTAATGCCCGTGTTCGTTCCTCATATTCTTTGAGACAAACTATAGGGCATAGATTTACATTGTGAGGGAACGCTGGATAGGATACCGTCGAAATCGCAGTTTTTGTACGTCTGGAAATGTTGGAGTGAATGAACGTGCGTCTACATCCAATGCTCGCACCTCGGATACTCTTTTGCATGATATCAAGCAGAAAAGCATTGCCAGTTTCGCTGATAGTTGTTTCAGCGTAAGGTCGGAGTTCCGTGGCCATTGCTCCATTAGATTCAGGACTAAGTTTACGTCCCACGTTGATGTATACCTAGGTCGTGGTGGCCTTGCAAAACGAACACCTCGTAGGAGTCTGCATACCATTGCGTGTCTCCCTATCGGTGCACCTTCTAGCCCGTGATGTCCTGCTGAAATCGCTGACCTATAGCTGTTAATAGTCCGGTAGGCTAGACCTTGCTCGAACAAACCCGTCAAGAAACACAGAATGCTGTTCAATGGCGCACATACCGGATCCCCTAGTTTGTTCCATGCAGCAACCACTCCAGATGCTCCATGCCCGTCTGTAGGACCTCCGAGTTCCTGGTGCCCAGGCCCCTGCCAGTAGCTCCAACGTTGTCCGTGGAACCTCCGGTATGACCGAGAGTCCCCGGAAAGGAGCCACGCTAGTAGCCTGAGGTGCCCGTGCATTAACAAAAGGGTGCGAGTTCCCTTCCGGATCCGTCAAGAGGTGAGGGTCCGCTGGTAGCATTCTGGGGAGGTCTATAGACATCTCCATGAGGGACGGGAACCATGGTTGTGCCGTCCAAAATGGTGCGACCAACACCAAGGTCGTCTGCGAGCGGCCGAGATGGACCAGTGTTCGTGCCAGCAGAGCGAACGGTGGGAATGCATAGTCTCTTCCGCGGCCATGGTTGGAGGAACGCATCCGTAGCCACTGCATCCGGGTCCGGCCTCCAGCTGAAGAACTCCGGTAGGTGCGTATTCAAACGAGAAGCAAACAGATCCATGTGCATCGGGCCCCACAGTGTTTGCAAACGCAGGAATACTTCCCGACTCAATCGCCAATCGCTGTTGTCCCGTAGGTATCTGGAATTCCAATCCGCTACTGTATTCGAGAGGCCCTGGATGTAATTCGGCCCGTACTGAGATGCTGCGGTCCAGGCAAAACTGCCAGAATTCCATGGCTAAGTCCGCCAAGAGCTTGGATCTGGTGCCGCCCAGGCGGTTGATGTATTGCACCGCTGATATGTTGTCCATCCGTAGGACGATGGAACAATGTGTCCTGGTTCCCAGGAGACTTTTCAGTGCGAATGATCCCGCCATAAGCTCCAAACCGTTGATATGCATCGATCTTTCAGACTGGGACCATCTTCCGCCTGTGGAAATACGCCCACAACGTGCTCCCCAGCCCTGCGTGCTGGCATCGGATTCTATTATGCAATCCGGGGCGTTGCCAAAAATCGCTTTCCCGTTCCATGCCTCCATGTGTTGCAACCACCATTCGAGTTCCGCCTTGGCCGTGTGATCGAGCGGCACGGAGTCTGAATAAGATCGACCCAATTGTAGATGTGTGGTCTTTAACCTTTGTAGGGCCCTGTAGTGTAGAGGCCCGGGAAAGATCGCCTGAATGGAGGCTGAGAGGAGTCCAATTATCCTTGCCAGCTGTCGCACCGTGAGTGTCAGTCGACGTAGAGTTCTGTGGATCTCCTTTTTGATAACCTTGTTCTTTTCCTGCTGTAAATTCAGAGTCCCCTGGACTGCGTTGATAGTGAAACCCAGGAATTCCATGGACTGTGAGGGGATCAACACTGATTTCTCCCAATTGATGAGAAAACCGAGGTTGCGCAAAAGCTGTATTGTCCATGATAAGTGTTGTCGGAGCATGCTTACCTCCTGTGCCATGATCAATATATCGTCCAGATAGACGATCATGCGCACTCCTCTGCTGCGTAGCAGCGCCACCGCCAGTTTCAAGAGCTTCGTAAAGCACCACGGAGCGGAAGACAGGCCGAATGGGAGGCAATTTGACCATCCAGTCTCCCAGCCTGAGGAGATCCCGCAGACAAAGAATCGCCTCCATTTTGAAGTGATGGTACCGTACGAACGCGTTGAGGGGGCGTAGGTTTATTAACGGTCTTACTCCGCCGCCCTTTTTGGGGACCAAAAAGAGATTGCTCAGGAAACCTGGGGAATGATACGCAACTCGCTAAAGCGCCCTTTTCCCTTAACGATCTGATTTCCTGGGACACGAGACTTTTGTCTTTCGGGGAAAACACCATTGGTCGAGGGGCTGCTAGTTGGACTGGGGTTTGTACAAAGTCTATCTGATACCCCACAACAGTGTTGAGAACCCAGGCATCGGACGTGAGTTGTGCCATGCCCCAATAAAATGGGCTAGTCTGCCCCCTACAGCTGAAGTAGAAAATCGGAAAGAAGAAAGGGTACTCACCATAAGGTTGTCGGCCGTATGTAGCGCCTCTGCGCCCCCTGGGTTGCCATGGCCTGCCCCGGACAGGAAAGAATGGTGAAGGGTTCCTGACCTCTGGCAGCTGAAATCTGGGTGCGGGGGAGCCTCGGTAGCCTCGATAGGAGCCCCGTGATGACCGGCTAGACAGACGGCCCCGTTGTCTGCCAGCCCCCCCAAAAACCTTTGGGGCGAACACCCGCTTCAAGTTTGTTTGTGCCTTGTCCAGGGCCGTAAACGTACTAACATAATTGCCTAATTCCTTGACAAAATTATCCCAGAAGAGGAGGCCCTTTGCCTGCGGTCCGGGTTCAGCAATGGCTATGTTGACCAGCTTCGGGTCAATTTTCATGAGGACCGCTTTGCGTCTCTCTGTACAGAGTGCTGCATTGGAATTGCCAATGAGACATATTGAGCGTTGTGCCCACTCTCGGATAGAGGTCCACAGGCGTGCCATTTGAAATCGTCTCTTCGACCATGTCGAAGATGTTTGCGCTGGGGCCCAGCGAGTCAAGTACTTTATCTAGGCAGTGGCGTAGCGAATAATCTAGGCCTTTTTTGGCTTTCCAGCCCGACTTTCCCAGAAACTGGGCAATCTTTGGGTCCAGTTCTGGAGTGGCGCACGCCAGATCTGGCACCGTTGGGTGTGGGCATTCGGCCCTCAACTTATTCCTAGTAGCCTTGTCTAGGGGCTTCCTAATTCTGGCTGCTATATACTGAGCCAGGTGGTCCGCCGGGAACCATTCAGTCGACCTAGGATGTTGCAGATCGTCCGGTTAAACAAGGGTTCCCCTTGCGGATCAAGGATAACTGAGTCATCTGCTTTGTCATGACCCTTGGTGGGTGGCCTGTCAGAGAAATTACTTTCCGGAGAAGAATTCTCCGAGTCTTGCGAGCCCATATCTTCAGACTCACTCAATACCTCCTCTTGGTCCGAATCAGAATCGGATATTTCCTTCCCGGCTTTCGCCCATTTCCATGACCGCACCGCTTTTGCCCGGTGGGAGGCTCTCTTACGTGGGGGCCCCACGTCCTCATCAGTGACAGGACGCAACCTGTCCGTCATAAACATTTTGGAGGTTTGTTTGCCCATGTGATGGATCTTTGCAGTAGCCTTGCGACTGCTAAGGGGGGCAGGCTCATCATCCTGGGCCTTGGAGCTGTGGTCCCCGGAGCTGTGGCCAGACGCCATGATGGCGTTACTGATGGATTGGGTCAGGTTATCTGACATCGCCCCCATTGCCGTATAGATTGCTTGTGTGACTGATTTTGCCATGGTTGCATCAAGCAGGGAGTGGAACTCCTCTGAGTTCAGTTGCTCTACTGACCCCACCTCCTCCCTCTGAGAGGAGATAGGCTGCGGAACCAGGGCCCCACGGGGTGTGGTGCCCAGGCTGCCTGTAGGCACAGTGGCCCGCTCCTGTTCTGTGGGGTGTTGCATGATGAGACTAATATTGATGTATTGGTGTAACACCCTATGGCAATAGGCAATAACTTTATTGCTGGCCATTTAAGGTACCCTGTATGGCAGAAATGGAAATACTACTGAAGGTGATAACCACCCACCAGCCTGTCACTTTAAGGCCCAGGTAAGAATTAACTATATGGATTCTCCTACGTATAAGAGACTGATCCTCAGCAGGTGTTAGGGCAAGGCACAGACAAGCTGTCAGCTTACCTAGTGTTCCCTCCGGAATGGCATCAGAGGGGGGGACACTAGGGAGCTGACAGTTGCAGCCTACACCCACTCCGAGCGCTCCCGCCCTTCAGGAGGCTGGGAGTGTCGGAGAAAAAGCGCGGGAACAAAGACCGCCGAGAAGCCGGCAGTGAAAATGGCCCGGCTGATACTGTCCGCGCCGGCAACAGTCGGCGCGGAGATCAGCTGGGAAGCCGCAGTAAAAAACCCGACGCGCGGGTTATAAACTACCCGACGGGGGGGGAGGGAGGGAGGATTAGGAGTATGTCTCCCGAACGGGGAAGTAGACAGACGGCAACCTAGAGAGACTAAATGTAGTAACTCTGACCCTCAGTCACTCCCCCAAAGCTACAGCAAAATAAATTTAGACAAAGAATAAATATCAAGAAATAAATATCAAGAAATAAATAATCCAAAACACTAAGAAATGACAGTTACATAAACATATTTCCAATCTAATTATCCAAACAGAATGAACACAATTTAAGAGAGCTAAAATTAGGTGATACTTAGCTGAGGCAGGATCAAAGAAAGAGGGAGAGGAAAGGTCACATGGGTGGTTATGGATAGAAGGACTGTTCCTATTGGTTAAGGATAACAGACTATGTTAACCCTTTGAGTACTCAGTTTGGTTTCTTTAATGTTTGTACATTTTCTTTTTCTTTGCTGCTGAGGTATATTAAAGAAAGAGAAAGCACAATATGAGCCTCCGTGTCCTTTAATAAAATTCTGGATATGTTGGTTAGTCAAACTAACCATGATTAACTAATTTTGAAGCCCAATTAACTCTGCTTCCATCTCCTAAAAACATGGATTTGATATATTCTTTTGTCATTTGTATAATTTTATTTGAAGAACTAAATTATCTCTGTCCCTCAGTTTTAATCTGGTCACCTCTATTCTATTAAATTTAAATTTGAAGAAGCAATGTGTCCTTTATATTCCATCATTATGTTGGTTTCTAAAGTTACACTAACTCTTTCAATATAAAGATACATTTTAATGTTGTACTTGTATGAAGGTCAAATTATTTTAGGCTCATTCTCAGATGAAAGATCCAAGAGGCTTGATAAATAGCTTTGAGTCTCTGCTGAATATTAATTGAGAATATACTGTATAATCATAACTCTACCATCGACTCAGTGATTAATTTGTGATATAATTAAAGAATGCTGCTTCCCTCTTCATAACCGGCCACAAGGTCCATTTCATTACATTTACAATAATGCAACCAAACAAAGGGGGAACGGTCAAATACATTTTATTAAGTGGGAAACATGTTAATATGCTTTAGCACAGTATACTTCTCCTTACCCCGGAATATAATTCCATAAAATTATATATTACTTGCTGATGTTGTATTGTCTGAGAAAATGTCAGTTGATGGGGTTGTCTTTTTTATATATGAACAAATTGACATTATACAATCCATACTAAAATAATACTTGGTAACTAAAAATATCAATGAATACTGTTTCTTAATTTCTTAATTCGTACTACCCAGTTATGTAGAAAAGGAATGTACATTTAACATCAAACCAGATAGTATTACTAGATATTTTAGGATATTTTAAGAACCAGATGGCCATCTACTGGAACATGTATGAGATTTCCTGTAAATAGAGATTTGTCATAATATGGCAGTTGACAAAATTGGCAAAACATATGAAATAGACTTTTGCTTCAATAAAAAAAGATACTGAGTTTTGGGCCATTCTCAGTGTCTCAGATCTGCTGTATGCTATCCAACCAACTGACGAGTTCCATTAAAAGTCAAAACAATTGTCTGAGGTTGCTTTTATATCTCACGCAGAGGGAACTTGCCAGCATTTTGGATCTGGACTACCCTTGTGGGCAGGATCAGTCTGATATGCAAATGGTATAGATTCTCTCTGTATTGGCACACGTGAGCAAAAACATTTTTGATACACCCAGCAAGGTTTCAACACTTCCAAATAACTGTCAAATCTCATAGTAGACATGTATGTGCTGGTTTCATTATTTATTATTCTTTGATTTTGTGGTGGAAACTCCTAATCAAAGACTCACCGCTAGTGAGTAGAACTATTTGTAACACTGTTTGTCATTGGCAATGTTAAGCCAAAACAGCCAAGCTGTAAATCATATGTTTGGGTACAACTGGGATATAGTGAACAGATATTTATAACACATAGATCAAAGGGCATTAATGCAATATATGGATTTGAATATTTATGGGGAGTATGTCCTTAGGTCTAATGGTGAGTCGAAGGTATTGGGTAATTTAATTTGAATAAATCTAGTACAAATGGTAGTCCACAAAAGGAAATATGGCCTTTCTTATTAAAATAATTTACCATTCTAGATTTTTCTGGATTTTAATGTTATAACCAGTTTTATTAAATTATTAATTTTTGGTTTGTTAATATCAAAATGATTTTTAAATATGCGCTTTTTAATATTCAATTATGTAGTTTGTCTTTGTGAAAAGATAAGGTTTTAATGCATTTTTTTGGGGAATTATTATTTGGGGGGGGAGGGGCGAAGTGACAAGGCTTTGGAATATTTAATATTTTTCACCTACAGAAATGTTAATCTGGTCATGGTTCCATGACAATATTTATGTAAACATATTAAAACATTTGTATATTTTATGTTTATCTGAATATTAAAATGAAGTCAGTAAGTGCAACTTTACAGCTCAGTTTTTTTGTGCTTATTTGTACATGTACGGACATTAGTGGTCTATGCAGCATTAATATGACACTTCTATGTTAACATATTTTCATCCATTCTTGGTTTTGATACCATAATCCCCAATAAACACTGACTTCCATATTGGCAGATTGTATGGTAGCTTAGTAGAGCTATAAGAAACACTTATAGACCTCCATGTGTTCTATTTATTCCAAAACTCAGTACCTAAGTACATACAGATATTATATATATTTCCTTTAAAAATATTCACAAACCATTTAGTTATTATGTATATATACTGTCAGCATACAGTACTCAGAGGATGAAACAAGAACAAGTCACATTATGCTAATCAGCATGTTTTGTGGATCTGCTCATAACCTTTCTTTTTTTTTTTCACTCGTTACTTTTCCCTTGTTACCATGGAAACTTCAGTCTCATTTTCCAGGGAGACACATTTTCAGCAACTGATATCAAAATTCTTAACTACAGCATTCGAAAGTTAGAAAGTCATCAAAAAAGATTTTGCAGTGGTAACAGACAGACAAATTTTTTATGGATTGCAAGTCAGCTGTGACTTTTAAGTCCTTCTCATGAGCAGAAAATAATCTTGCTGCTGTCACTTTGGCAGGAAGCCTTTATAGTGTGGATTGGATACCTAAGGCACTTCTTTGGGAACTGTAACTCTGACGGACTCATTAATATGCTCCGAAAGTGCACTTAAAGAATGGAAATGATGTTTCCTGATTACAGCAGGAGTCTTATCAAATAGGTAAAAATATGTTGTTAAAGAGTTTCCATGCAATCAGTATTCCATTATTGCTGTGCTATCACTTATATTATTTTGTTAAGACACATTAATATCCAGATGTGGCATTTTAAAATAACTATTCGGCCAGACTTACTGTCTACATTCTGGTGGAAAATCTGACAATTGTCCCAAAACTGATATTTCCAGTTTAGCGCAGTTAGAGGGGGAGAATGTGACTTACAATCGTAAAAAAAATTAAAAATGAACAGAAGGTATTTAAAGTGTTGCTCCAAACATCATAGTGGTTCAGCCATCGGTAGTGGTTATGGGGGTAGTAGTACCTTGGAGTTTTTCCATAGTAATGAGGCAAACCGTTTTACAGCAGCTTGCTCTTTTACCTGGTCCTGCTGGGCACCGGGTCTCCTCTGAAGGCAGATTTACAACATCTGGATCCTGCATAGCTGTAGAAGATGGATGTTGATCCTGCCGCTCATTCATTGACTGAGTGCATCAGCTGAATGCTCTAAGCCAATGAATGAACTGAAATACGTACAAAAATTTGCACAAAAGTCTGCATGGTGTTCCCAGCCTGACTGATGACACCTAATGATGCTGCTCAAAATGGATTTACATCTCCAGCAGGGGTTAAAATTGGTATGTGCAGCATTTCACAGTGAATCACTGTACATACAGACTCCAGACACCATGACCACTTCAAAATAACTGAAATGGTTATGGTGTTGGAGTAACCCTTTAGCTCTCATACTAACAAGGACTGTACAGGATGATGGATGTCCGAAAGCACAGTAAAAATTGACATTTTGGGTATAAAGTAGTGTGTTAATGCAGGTAAGCAGAAAATAGATTAGATAAATAAAACACTAGATTTACATTGATCAACTAATAAATATTAAAATTCTGATATATTTTAAAATGATGTGTAATATGTTTCTTCTCTATACCTATATAATGTACTTTATCTTTACAAAACATAGATTGGAAAATTGTCAACCAGGAATGCATTCTAAGAGGTTGATAAGATCACAGTATGGGGAATTCATATACTGCAAATAAAAAGAGGTTCTGCCAAACATACTAAAAACATACGCACTTATTTAATAAAATATTCTGTGTTAGTTACAGAAACTTGTAGAAGTGGATTGCTCTGAGGCCGTTCTATATATTAAGTCATGCATTATCTCCCATGGGCACTAATTGTTACCTAATTTAAAATGAGAGACCTGTGCCCCTGTCCTGCCTGATGTGTTTTCTTTGTGCCAGAATGTCCCAAATAAAGCTTAACAAAACCTCATGTTCCTTGTTAAATTATGTCATAATTTGATGCTTAACTGCCTCAGGTTGTTAAAATCATATTATGCATATGTAAACCTTGGCCACATCTTCTCTAATTGCTTGAGTCCCCTGGCTTGCCTTGCCATGTGTAACCTTGTTCCTTTGTACCATCAGTTCCTCTGTTAGTTCCTCTTGACTTACTCTTGTGGATTTCCCTTGTCCTCCATTGTTAGATGGATGACTACTCTCACAGATCACCCATGTCTATGGCTACGTGACAACTCTCATGGATTATCCTTGTTACTCTCTGCAACAGTGGCAACAGACCCAAGCCTACGAGTCACAATCACACTCTTGTATCTTCCTTGTATTTACTCATTCATATGGACTTTGTCCCATATGTTCAACTCATGGCAAACTTCATAATTGTCTTACTCCCATACCTTTTCTTTCCAAAAGACTCTGTTCTGACTACTGTTTTTACTCAATTCTTGATAAACCTCACCATTGCCTTGTTACAAGTTTCTCTGCTCAACAAATTCATGCCTCATCAAACCTCTGTTGCCTCCATTGTTCACTAGGTGACATAAGCGGCTCACCTCTATTCCCTTGTTCTGTAAAATTCAAGATGTGTAAGTCAGCCCCGATGGGATCCTTTGTCCTTGGGTACTGAATGTACAGTAGGTCTCCTGGTGCTCCTAACTAAAAAGTTACTTTATTGTTAAGCTATACTAAAGTATATAAGGAGATACTACCTCTCTGGATATTCATCAGTTATTTCATTTACTGCTTAAACTATTGTGTGCTCAAACTATTGTACAATATTACACCATCACTACCAGGAATAATGCTACTTCATTGTTCTTTAGTATGATGTGAATAAAAAAAAATTAGCATGAAGTCACTATGCCATTGGAAATAATTTTGTGAACTCTCCTTACTGTATAAATCTGTAAAATGCTAATTATATGGCTGTTTTAATTACTATGTATGTTAAAGAGGTCAGACATTTGTAAATCAGAGAATCACAAAAAATATCAAAATATTAATTTATAAGGCTTCCCCCAAGATCAGTTGGAGTTGTCTGATTGGTTGGATTACAAGTGTTCTGACTAACAAGCCTAATTTATCTTGAAACTTGCATGGGAATATTTGGTGGGCTCCAGGTAAGAAGTCAATTATGCAGTGGACACCAGATAAAAAGTTAAACTGTTTAAATACTTAGTTTGGGTAGGCGGGTGTCAGGGAACTTCTTGCACCATACCTACTTCAGCATGTCCCTTTAAGAATACTTTACAGATGTCACCATTTTACCCCAACCATGATATTTTGTCAAGTAACAAAGTGTGTGAGTCTGTACTTTACATTAGGGTATGTTTTAAAAATTCAAGTTTAGAAAATACAGAAGCTTATTTTGTATAGTGAATTTTTGTTGTTGTTCTTTAATGATAATTATACTGCTGATTTAATAAACATTGCTCTGAGTAGAGAAATTAATTGCTAGTTAAATAATTCATACATTTCTCTTGGGTTATTACTTAGTTTCTCCAGAATTATTTCCTGAACAACAGTGAAGTGTGCTTAATTTTAATATGCTATACAGAAAATTAATTAATGTTTTTTTGAAAAGGTTAGCAGTGTACGATACATTTCTAATGTAACACAAAATAAAAACATAGACATTAAGCTTAGCAAGGGGAAACAATACAGCTGATGGATCTGCGATCTTTACAACTTTGTATTTTTGTGTTTAATATAGTAATACAGCCTTAGAAAACACAGCTTGCAATTTAGGATATTTTCCCCAAATGTCCTATCATTTCATGCATTACTTTGAAAAGTTGGTTAACCACTTTAGCCAAGTGGACGTACTATTACATGAGAAAACTGGGTTCTTATGGACCCAGTGCCGGCCCAAGGCATTGTGCTGCCTGGATCAAAGGATGAAATCCCACCACCCTCCTCCCACCCTTCCCCAACAAAACCACACCAAGCAAAAATGCCCACACCCATTATGTTATGCAGCGTGTGTAGTGAATGCAGTGTCTGTGGATTGCATACAGTGTATGTAGTGATTGCATTGTGTGTCTGTATAGTGGATGCAGCGTGTGTGTATTTTGTAATGGATGCAGTGTGTGGATAGCAAATGCAGAGCGTGTGTGTATATAGTGGATGCAGAGTGTGTGTATAGTGGATGCAGTGTGTGTGTATAGTGGATACAGTGTGTGTGTGTGTGTGTGTGTGTGCAAAGTGGGTGCAGTCTGTGTGTGTGTATAGTGGATGCAGGAGGGAGGGGGTGGCAGAGTTAGGGACAGGGTGACAGGTGGAAGAGTGACTTAGGGAGGAGGTGACATAGTGATCAAGTAGGTGACAGGTGGCATAGTGACTGTGGGTGACAGTGTGGGTGGTAGAGTGACTAAGGGAGGGAGGGGGTGACACAGGTGGCAGAGTGACTCAGGAAGGGAGAGGGTGGCAGAGTAATGGAGGGGGGATGGCAGAGTGAGGGAGGGGGTGACAGGTGGTAGAGTGACTGAGGGAATGGAGGGGGTGACATGTGGTAGAGTGACTGAGGGAGGGAGGGAGCGGGTGACAGGTGGCAGAGTGACTGAGGGAGGGGTTGACACAGTGAGGATGACAGGTGGCAGAGTGACTGAGGGGGGATAGAGTGGGTGGCAGAGTGACTGAGGGAGGGGTTGACACAGGTGACATAGTGGGTGACCGGTGGCAGAGTGACTAAGGTAGGGAGGGAGTGGCAGATTGAGGGAGGGGGTGACAGGTGGTAGAGTGACTGACGGAGGGAGGGGGTGACACAGTAAGGGAGAGGTGACACAGTAAGGGAGGGGGTGGCAGAGTGACTAAGGGAGGGAGGGAGTAACACAGTAAGGGAGGGGTGACACAGTAAGGGAGGGGCTGGCAGAGTGACTGAGGGAGGGGGTGGCATAGTCACTCTGCCAGCCCCTCCCTTAATGTGTCACCCCTTCCTTACGGTGTCTCCACCTCCTTCAGTCATTCTGCCACCCCCACCCTTAATGTGTCACCCCTCCCTTACTGTGTCACCCCCTCCCTCCGTTTCTCTGATTTGAGCTTGTAACTTCACAAAATTCTGTAAAGGGTATTCCTGAACAGACATGATGTAGCGGAGAACATTTTTTTTTTTTTTTTATTGGAGTAGAATACATGATGCATACAAAATACACAGAAAAATTTCTCATGTTTGAAAACTCAAAATAAATATTACATCAAACTTTAGTAGACACTAGTGGTAACATGGCCATATGAAAAGTGTCAAAGTGCATCTAATTAGGATGTGTGCTTTATAAAATATACTTTAGTTTGGCATTTTTTCAACATTATGTATTCAGCATTAAATCAGAGAACTAAATGTTCCAATGACATTAAACAATAGAGGACAATAGATTGAAAAAAGGTACATTCAGATGGCGCAGTACATTAAATTGGCATTAGGATATTTTGCATATATAAACAGTAACAATAACAATAAGATGATGTTCACTTTGAGACAATGCATAAACTACAGTATAGATGGTACATGGTACCAGATAGACTGGCTTGTATATATCCCAATACCTCAAATAAATGCTGAAGGTTCCATTCAGAAAGGGGCATGATGCACCACGTTTGGTGGATGTGTTCAAAGATAGCACCCTGTGGAGGAGGAGACGTCTAAAGCTATAGGTAGGAAGATCACTCTCACACCAGAATGTAGCCTCCTTTTCATGACTTTGGAAGAGTATACTAGAACTGAGTCATGCCTATTATACCACATACTAATTGCAGCTAACACGCTAATTGTGAGGGCAAGGAAACAAGCTCACTTACAGAACATGAAGGCCCTAATCCAAAAAAATATCTTTAAACTAAGACTATGAAATTAGAATTAACAAACAGCTAAATATGCCCTGGGGCCCAGTCCAAATGGGAATCCCACCCTAAATAAGGGCAGGGGAAGAAAAGAGATAAAAAAGCAATGGATCCGGTCATAGGGGATGGGTGATAAAGTTCCTATAATGCTCCTATAATGTTCTAGGCTTAACACTTCTCTTGAAGAGATTTTCCATGTATTGCACCCAGACCTTGAGCTTTGTCAGAGGCCCCAATATTTCTCATGGCAGCCCTGTAGATGAGGCTATCTACACATCAGGGGTTGTTACTATGACATGAAGACAATACACAGCCAACCCAAACCTACAACAAACACAAACAGTCCCCATCACACATTGACAGCACAAAATGATCACACACAGCCAGCTCAATGCTAACCCACAGTTTCCATTACACATACACAGCTCAATAACATCACACACAAACTATTCCTATCACAAACAGACAACTCAATAAATCACGTGCAGTTCACATTACACTCAAACAGCTAAATATATCACACACTAACTGTAGCCATTACACTCAGAATGTCCAATACGCAGTTCCCATTACACACAGACACCCCAATACATCACATGCAGTCCCCACTATAATCAGAAAGCCTGAGGTCATCGGTCACAACCAAGGTATTTGTTAGTTATAAAAAAAAATGTAGTGACACCAGTAAAGACTCCTATTTGTAATAAGGTGGTTTGCCCTGGGGCCACTGTGGGATGCATACTTCAAGTGTTCTGCCATGGCCGCTTTAAGAGTCTGGCCATAAGATTACTAGAGAGCCCACACTCATGCAGTGTGATGCTGCCTTTGTTGTTGCCAGAAATCTCGGTCATGGGGCAAGTCTGGTGAGTGCAGTCTCCGTGCTAGGGTAAGTCCTGGGTGCTAGAGCATGTTCTGTGAGTGCAATCTCAGTGCTGGGGTAAGTTTTGGGTGCTAGGAGAATTCCTGTGAGTGCTGGGGTGATCCTGTGAATGCAATATCCGTGCTGGGGTAAGTCAATATTTGTCCCCAGTATAAACACAATGTGATGTCTCACACACTGCCCTGATATATATCCCTGCATAGGGCAATTTATATAAGCTTGTTTACATACTGGGGTCTATATATTGCCCTGTGCATGTTGCATATATCAGGACAGTGTGTGAGATATAACCTTATGTACATACTGGGAGTATGTATTGCCCTGTGCAGGGTTATAGATCAGTTCTATCAATAACACAATATTTAAACATGCTTTAAAATGCATGGTTTGCCCTCTTATAAATAAGAAAATAATGTCATGATATGGAGCTGGTATAATGACGCAATGCTATTGGTCTGTTATAAACTATTTCCAGAGCTGGTTTTTATCCCCATTATGTCACTGATGTGTTGTGATGTCCCTGTGTTATACTTGTAAAAAGGTGTGATTTGCCTATGTTGTACTTGCAATGAGGTGTGTTTTACTTATGTTGTGTTTGTCAGAAGTTGTGATGTGTCTGCACTATGCTTGCAATGTGGTGACAAGCATACCTCTGGCACATCACCATCATCATGCAAGTATAAATATGTGTGTGTAAATATATATTTATGATTTGAGGCTGATAACACTTATTATCATTAGCATTATTGGGAAAGCATTGTGTATGGAACTTTGCTATTTTATGTGCACTAACAGACTAGCAGTGATTTCATATAGAGGGGAGCACTTTGGGTGATTGGCAGCACTCTGTTTCCTAAGAAACCTGTTTTATATTTCTTTTGAATGTGATACAGCATGTTTGGCCTAAATCTCATTTGGGTACTATGCTCAAATACAAGTACCATGCACACAAGGGCGCTAGAGACCCTAGGTACGCCTCTGCTGGCAGAAGAGTCAAGTAATCCCTAGAACTGAGTGCATGCAGGGAAATATAATTCCTTTTGTCCAAGAAACCAAAATATCTAATATCCAGATTCATAGTGAAGGCTAGTTTTGAAAATTGATTTATGTGACCACTCTTAAATATAGAGAACAAATATATTTAATTTTGAACATCTACATTGCAGAGATGTGTCATTCTTTTTGATATGTGACCCTTAACTATCAAATCAGGTTGAAATCCTACACATGTTTTGCTCTTTAAAGTAGAAAAAAATGTTTTTACTTTGATGCACTTTTCTTTAGCTACCCTAATTATGTACTTTTTTTTATAGGCAAAACTGACTAAACTAGTGGTATTTTAAGTGACATGGTGATACAAAGACAATATATTATTGGGTTACTACAAGCAGTACGACCACTTCAGTGATATGAAGTGGTGATGATGCCAGGTGTGTTTATGTGCAGTGTTGAAACACTATGAAATACTACACATACATTGTTTAACTCCCCTGCTGTTGGATATGTTATTCCACCTCTGGAAGCATCAATAACCATCCTGAATCTAGGTGTCTTGGCTGGCTTATGTCAATTCGGTGCATGTTTGGCATCTTTCTTCAGCACACACAGAATACTGGTGATAGACAGCCAAGGGTCCTCCATGCTGCCCATATATTCCCTTCTGCCTGTCCTCCCTGACATCCTTCCCCATCCATTGAGGTGGAATGATATCAGTAGAGAAGGATCAGGCTGAGGGAGTACTTGACCTTGGTGCTGTTGAATTTGATCTATTTTTTTGTTCTTTTAAGTTTTTTTTTGGAGGGGACCAGCTGTTCTAAAAACACAGGTTTTTAGTTGAAGTAACCCATTTTTTTTTTATAATTACATTTATAACTAGCACATTTTTCTATGACTTTGGATATAGAATATTTATTTTTAACCATATAATATTTTGTGTTTTTCTGTTTTTATCATTGACAAAAAATAAATAAGAATTCTGCAGTAGTACTATAGAAAATAAAATTAATACAGCATAAAATGCAAAATAAATAATAGGAGTGGTAAATGTCTAATGCTTGTAGTTGAGTGGAGAAGGCAGCTCGAACAACCCGAATCAGAGTCTCTCTTTTCTAGACAAGGATAAGATGTACACAAATAGCTTAGGGAGTAGCACAATGAAAGGTTCCTTATATACTCTGAGTTGTCTCCCCTTGAGAGTCACGTAACTTGCTTCTGGATCTTAATTTTTCCTGAAATTTGAGAGCTATTTTCCTTTGTTGGGGAATATACCACATATAACTTCTAAATTGAGCAACACCATTATTTGTTGTCTATTTTGTTTATTTTGCATACCTTCTGGACCACATATGATTGGACGCAGAGTTACACCGCATATCTTTAGGCGGAGATTGTATCACCAAGGGGCACAGACGTAGAGCTAACTGTTAGCTCTGTAAGTGTATCTCTTCTTTTTATTTTCGACTAATATCTGGCATACTATTTATTTTATTTATAAAATATTTTACCAGGAAAGATACATTGAGATTTCTCTCGTTTTCAAGTATGTCCTGGGTCCACAAATCATTGCATTGTTACATTAGGGTACAATAAAATACAAAAACTATATTAATACACAATAAATACAAAATTTAAGAACAGGTAGGAAATATATAATCAACCTGTTTTGAGGTATGTAGAGAGGGATCTCTTAAAGAACTTTAGGCTTGGGGAAGATTTAAAATTGTGCCGGAGGTCGTTCCACAATTGAGGTGCACTACACTATATACTTGTTGTATTGTCTACTTGTCTCATTGCACACTTGCCCACATCTGAGGATTTTTCAAGGTTCTACAAAATAGAAAATGCCAGACAACAAAAAACAAAAAAACAAGCAACCACCATGGAAGAATTACATCCCTATTTACCAGTCCATATTTATAAGTGAATATATATGATTAGTAAAGGCAATCCGTATCTGACTCTAACCTGAAAAATTCAGATTAAATGTGGGTTGCACCAGTACTAACTTTCTATTTATGTTCTGGTGGTTTTTTTCTCCACTTTGAATGATCCAGTTTTTGTGATGCCGCTGCTATCCAGAAGATGTCTGCTTTGTAGTGCATACTTGGGCCATTTATTACACAGATTTTTCACATGTATAATTTTCTTAGTGTTTTTATATTGGTTTTAAAAAAATAACTTTGATTCATCATGACTATTAAACAACGTAAATAAAAAACCCATCATATTTTAATTCTCATTTCGTATT